AAACACAAAAAAATATAAAAAATCATTATTTTAATACGGCGCACGAACTTTTTCCTCAACCTAGTATATATGTTTGTTTTTTTTTTTTAATTTTTTTATTATTTTATTTTTTATTCAGGACTGAAAGAGTCAAAACGATAGGGAAGGCGATTGAATGAAAGCGACTGAATGAAAGGAATTGAATGAAAGCGACTGAATGAAAGGAATTGAATGAAAGCTGGACTCGCACATGCCGGGAGTTCCCTTTCGTTTCTCTCCGGCTCGGACCCGAAAGGGGATCGCCCACGCCTCGCGAGGCGTGAGGACCTTGGACGCAATTCCACGCCGTGATTCCCGCGGAGGCGGCGCGACGGGAGTCGAGACATTTTTCAATGGGGAAATTCCCCCCCTGAAATCCGACTTCGTCGGGCTTTAACACGTTCCGATGAGACGAATATGCGCGCGGGAATCGGGAATGTCGGCGGGTCGGCGCGTTCCATAGGTGTAAAAATAACAATAAATTAAATATATATTTTTAAAAAATTGAAATGCTGGCGACGAAAACAGTCTTGCAAATTAAAAAAAAAATCGTCAGAGCCTGAAAACCGAAGAACGAGCCGTCCCTGCGAATAACGTCCAGGAACAAAAAACAAAGGCGTTCCTCGTCTCGCACCTGCCGCGGCCGAGCCATTTTCTACCCCGGTCCGTGAATGAATGCGGCATGCTGCAGACGAAGCGAAAGGACCGGGAGAAGGAAACTGGTCCGTTTCGGAGCTTCACTTCGTTTGCACTTCGAGGGACCGGGTGACTGGAGAGGAATCTGGAAGCGTGGCATTCCCTCAGCGTCTGAGAGTCAAACCGAGACCTCAAACTCCGTTCTCTGTTTTTTTTTTTCCTTCCACGGGATCGCCTCGCTGAGAACTGCGCCTGGCTTCGGCGAGGGGGGACAGGGGGGCAGGGGGGACAGGGGGGCAAGGGGGGGGGACTGTCGCATTGGGGAAGCAGAAATCGCTCGTGTCCGTCGTGGAATTCGGAGGGAAGTCCGACGTGTCAGATGGGTCCGGTTCGGTCTTCGATGGACCTGGTTCGACCATCAATGGACCCAGTTCGGGCTTGAATGGGTCTGGTTTAACCTTGAATGGGTCTGGTTCAACCTTGAATGGGTCTGGTTTAACCTTGAATGGGTCTGGTTAAGCCTTCGTCGATGCCTTACGTGGGACGCTATTTACCGAGGATGTTTTTCGAGTGAAGAAATGAGAAATGTTTCTCGTTGACTTTTGGCCTCCCCTATCTCTTCCCGAGATTGCAATTTCCGTTGGAGGTCGGAAGCCTTCCGTGAAGGTCGTCCCCGTCCTCCGCCTCTCGCAATCGTGACGTCCGCTCCTTCTGGGGGTTTCCGCCGCGTTCGTCGCGGCGTTGCGCAAGGCACGCGGGTGTGTTCCGCCTTGTCCTTCCTCTTTCGTCGACTTCGTGGATTCCCGCGAGGATTTCGCGACGATTTCGCGAGGATTTCGCGTCCGTCCCGCCCGGAGACTCGGGCGTCGGCCTGGTGTACTCGGCGCCGAGGCGTGTCTGTGGCATCTGGTCGCGATCCGATGCCTCGTTTTCCCTCTAAATCGGCTTAACACGAGAGAACCGATGCTACTTGTAAGCTGATACTGAAGGAAAACCGAGACGTGAGGGGCCCTCTCCGTTTCTCTCCCGACAGCGAAACGTTCTACTCTTCTTACCTTTCATCGACTGCTTCATCGACGGACCGAGGCGCGGGCTCTCGGGACGGCAAGCGCCGCAGCGAAGTCGAGGGGCGTCGAGGGGCGCCGCAGCGAAGTCGAGGGGCGTCGAGGGGCGTCGAGGGCAAGCCGGTCGTCGCCCTCGTCCTCGGCGAAAGCCGATCCTCGGGATCCTTCGCATTTCGATTCCACCTCGGAGAATATCGACGTCTCGAGAGAAGTGAGAGTGCCTCGACTCGTCGCTTCCCGTTTAACTGGTCGCGAGAGACGACCTCCTTCTCCTTCGGTCGGGAATCATCTCGTGAGGATTTTTAACGAAACCGAAAAAGACGACGGCGTGTGCTCGAAAAACTGGTTTCCCGTCGACTTTTAAGCCGTTCCAAAGCTTTTTTGTCGGCACCGAAGCGATTCGGGTGCTCTCTTCGAATCGACACGGGCCGACTCGCGGCCGACGATTGCCCGGACGCCGGAGGCCTGCACGGGTCGACTTTTCCGAAGCCGACCCCCGCGGCCGACCGAGCCGATCCGCATTCCGGATCGGAATCGGAATTCCAAAATGTCGCTTGATGCTACCGAGGGAATTCGTTAGAAATTTGCATGCAGGCGATCGGGGGTTTCCCGTCGACAACGCATACCCTGTTATCGATACACGGTGTCGCTATTTCGGATTCCAACATTGTGGCACTCTGGGATGCCGACAGGACTCGCTGGAAATTGTTAGAAACGGAAATCGGGGAATCCGTGGCGACGGGAAGCGTCCCCCATTCTCTACCTGACATCTGGGAATTTCACATTTGTACGGTGCGTCTCGTGTGGGACGGAACCCCCTGAAAATGAGTATATGGGAAATTTCTTTTTTTTTGGGGGGGGGGGGGGGGTAAATGACGGGACACGCTCAATATAGCGAGCGGAAATGTTAAACTGCGAAAGATCCTTGTTCGCGTGAAAAGGGAACGTCCGAAAATCCTCGTCGACTAATAGTTCTTAAGCTCATCGCACTCCGCTAATTAGGCGGTTAGATTCTCTCGTGGCGAAACCCGCAAGAACGACCAGAGAAACAATTTGAGGATGGAAAGGGTTAAGGAATCGCTGGAGTTGTTCCGGCCTCCAAGTCCGTTCAACTTTTTTTTCTTTTTTGTAAGGCTTCGGAGGAAAGGGGAACCTACTTCGACGCTACACATTGACTTGGATAATCCAAAGCGGAACGGCATCACCAAATTGTTGCATGTCACCCGGGGGGAGGGGGGGGACTTTTTTGACGACAGCGTCTAATGGGAAGGAAAATATTGACTCGTTCTTTCTCAATCGCTGAAACAACTCATTAGCTCGTTGAACTCAAAGCCTCTCGCTGAGCTTCTTCCGCACGTAAACACTTTTTTTTTCGCGTAGGCGTTTGAGTAAATGCGTTTTGAAACGCGATTGTGAGTGATGGCTCGAAGCGCGGTGGCTTCCGTGTTGTCTCGCGATCGTCTACGATTTTTCCAGTTGAAATTCGAGATCGGGTTCCAGGAATCGTGCCGAGGGCGTGCGAGTCGATGAAATGTAAATATCAACATGTATAAATATATATGAAGAAAGCGACGGTTATGAAACACGCATCGGGAGTGGAAATGGCCGATAAAAGGGGAAAGAGGTTCAGGTAGCCTTTTCACCACCGGCGCGTGGGTGGACGTGGACGTGGACGCGGACGTGATCGATGCGCGAACCGGCGTGTTTTTAGCAGCGTGGAGCCTATCGTATTTGGAAGAGCCGAGGGGCCTTGCCTCTCGTGAGGATCACTTACTTGTCGTCCCACGCGAAAAGGGTATCGGCCGGTGAGGAAAGCCGTTCGCGTGGGCGTGCACGTCGGCTGGACGTAACTTCCTTCGAGGACCACGCCTTCTCTGGCGAGGCGGTGCAAGGCCCGCGTCTCCACGTCGGCGTTGTGCCACGAGACGTCGTGGTAACCTGTCGTCCAGTCGGTCGATCGTGAGGTGGGGACGTTTTAGAGGGGGGGAGGGGGGGGGGCGTACCGAGGTCGTCGGCGACGACGAAGACGAGGTGCGGCGTCGCGGTCGATTGTGCAAAGACGAGAGACCACAGACAGAGGAAGGGTGTCATCACGACGGAGGGAAAAGGTAGACCGCGGGCGCACCGACGTCGCCCACGCTTCCGTGGGCTCTGCGACCGAATGCACACACGGGGGAGAGACGAGCCCCGGAGGGATTCGCTTCCCCCACCCACGTGCGATATGCCCTTTCGACCGGAGACAAAGGAAAGCCGAGCGAGGCTCTTTTATTGCAGCTCGAACTGCAGACAGGGAGGGAGGGGAAGAAGACGAACGAAAAAAAAAAGGAAGATCGCACTCGCACGCACGGCCGCAGCGTGTCTCCCTATCGCTTCGAGACTTGCAGGAGCAGGTACCTCAAGGGATGCGGGGCCACCGGCCTCCCGTCTTGGATCCCCCTGGACCCCGGGGGATCGAGCAGGAACCGCGCCTCCAGTCGGGGCTCGGCCGGCTCGAAGCAGCACCGCGGGGTGCAGTACATCGCCTGGGCCGCGCAGCGACATTCCGTGCAGAGGTCGCTCGCGACTCCTGCGGGGAGGAAACGGGGGAAACGGTTCGTTAACGGCACGGTTTTCTCGCGTGCTTGGTAATTCTCGAGCGAGTGGGAAAGGAGTCATGCTTTCTCGATTCTTTCGCGCTCGTGCTCTCTCTCGCCTTCGTTACGATCGGGATTTCAGCTTGTGGCTTCTTTTTGCCCTTCTTTTTTTTCCTTTTCATTTATTTTTACTTCGATCATCCATTACTCGAGGGTCGGACAAATATCTCAAAACCAAAGAGTCAGCACCAAGAAATAGCTCGGAGCAATTTTGCTCTTTCTGGACGAAAAAGTGACTGCGTCGAAAATTTCCTCATATAAAGAGGTTCGTCAAATCGAGCGTCGACTGAGGATGAAAAAGCCGTAAGAAACTCGTGCCTCTCGATGTTCGCACTCTT